CTATCTAAGAGGCTTGTGCAAGCTTCCTGATGGGAGGGACTGGTGGTGGGTAGAGCTGACTGTTGCTCTGATGGGCAGAGCTCAGTAAAACTTTAATCCACTTGACTGCTGATGCATGGGCCTGGGTTCCCTCCCTGTTGGTTGTTTGGCCTGAGGCAACCCAACACTGGAGCCTACCTCGCTCTTTGATGGGGCTAGTGACAGACTCTTGGAGGACTCACACCAAGGAGTACTTCCCAGAACTTCTGCTATTAGTGTCCTTGTCCCCCTGGTGAGCCACAGCCACCCCCCACGTCTGCAGGAGACCCTCCAACACTAGCAGGTAGGTCTGGTTCAGTCTCCTATGGGATCACTGCTCCTTCCCTGGGTCCCGATGCGCACACAACTTTGTGTGTGCCCTCCAGGATTGGAGTCTCTGTTTCCCCCAGTCCTGTCAAAGTACTGCAATCAAATCCCACTGGCCTTCAAAGTCTGATTCTCTAGGAATTCCTCCTCCTGTTGCCAGACCCCCAGGTTGGGAAGCTGACGTGGGACTCAGAACCTTCACTCCAGTGCTTGGACTTCTGTGGTATAAATGTTCTCCAGTCTGTGAGTCACCCACCCAGCAGTTATGGGATTTGATTTTACTGTGATTGCACTGCTCCTACCATCTCATTGTGGCTTCTCCTTTGTCTTTGCATGAGAGGCATCTTTTTTGATGAGTTCCAGTGTCTTTCTGTCGATGATTGTCCGGCAGCTACTTGTGATTCTGGTGTTCTCGCAAGAGGGAGTGAGAGCACGTCCTTCTACTCCGCCATCTTGGTTCCGAACCTTGAGACTTTTTGTCTTTCTAATATAAGAACTTCACATTATAAATTCCTTTCTCAGTACTGAATTAGCTGCATCCACACATTTTGATATGTTGTTTTTTTCATTTTCATTCAGTTTGGTGTATTTTTTGTTTTTCTCTTGATTATTTAAAAGTGTGTTTTTCAGTTCCAAGTTTCTGGTGATTTTCTTGTTTTCTTTCTGCTGTTGATGTGTATTTTAATTCCACTATAATAAGAGGACACTCTCTGTATGATTTCTTTTAAATTTGCTGAGGTTTGGTTCATGGTCCAGGTTACTGTCTATCTTGGTCTCTGTTCTATAGACACTTGAAAAGATGGGTGGAGTGTTCTTAAATATTGATTAAATCCTGTTGATTGATGATGTTGTTGAGTTCTTCTATATCCTTGCTGATTTTCTGTCAAGTTTTTCTATCAACTCTTGGGAGAAGGCCATTTAATTCTTCAAATATAATTCTGGATTTGTATATTTCTCATTTCAGTTTTGTCAGTTTTGTTTCACCTATTTTGTAGCTCTGTTGCTTGTTGTATACATATTTAGTACTGCTATGCCTTCTTGGTGAATTAACTCTTATAATTATGTAAGGTCCCTCTCTATGTCTGGTTTTCTTTGCTCTGAAGTCTACTTTATCTGATAGTAATACAGCCACTCCTGCTTTTTAAAAAATTAATAATACACATGGTATGTCTTTTTCCATCCTTTTACTTTCAACCTTCCCACATCTTTATATTTGAAGTGAATTTCTTGTAGACTACATACAATGGTCACACTACTAATTTCTATCTTTTGATTGGTACATTTAAACAATGTACATTTATTGTAATTATTTATATGATAGGGCTCAAGATGTTATTTTATTTTTTGTTTTCTGTTTGCTTTCTCTGGCTTTCATTTCTCTGTTTTCTTTTTCTGTATTCCTGTGGATTACTTGAACATTTTTTAGAATTCCATTTTGATTTATCTTTTTTTTTTTTTTTTGTGGTACGCGGGCCCCTCACTGCTGCTGCCTCTCCCGTTGTGGAGCACAGGCTCTGGATGTGCAGGTCCAGCGGCCATGGCCCACGGGCCCAGCTGCTCCGTGGCACATGGGATCCTCCTGGACCGGGGCATGAACCCGCGTCCCCTGCATCAGCAGGCGGACTCTCAACCACTGCACCACCAGGGAAGCCCTCTTTATATTTTTTGAGTGTATCTGTGTATGGCTCTTGTGTGGTTGCTCTAAGTATCATACATATTTACATAGACTACATCAACATTTTAACAGTTTGAAAAAAGTATAGAAATCTTACCTCCTTTTACATCCTTTTAACCTCTTCCAATTTATAATATACTTGCCTAAAATATTTCTGCTACATGCTTTGAGAACCATCTTAGTGTTATAATTTTTGCTTCAACCATCAAACATAATTTAGAAAACTCAAGAGAAAGAAAGTTTATTTTATTTACCCATATATTTGCTCATTCTGTTGTTCTTTCTTCCTTCCTGATGTTCCAAGTTTCCTTTTTTTTAATCATCTCTCTTCTGTTCAGAGAATTTTCTTGAGCCATTCTTTTAGGGTAGGCTTTCTTTTGTCTGAAAATTTCTTGATTTCCCCTTCACTCCTGAAAGATATTTTCACTGGATATAGAATTTGGGCTTGAGAGCTCTTTTCTTTCAGCCCTTGAAAAATGTTGTGCTACTTCTTCTGGCCTGCCTGGTTTCTGGTAAGAAATTCACTATCATTCAATTTGTTTTTCCCCTATAAGTGATGTGTTGCTTCTCGCTGGCTGCTTTCAAGATTTCTTTCTTTTTTTTTTTTTTTTTTCTTTTTTTGGTTTTTCGTTTTCCAAACTTAAACTACAATGTATCTTGGTGTGGATTTCTTTGGATTATCCTGTTTAGCATTCACTTAGCTTCCTGAATCTGTAGATTTATGACTTTTTCCAGATTTGGGAAATTTTTGGCCATTATTCCTTCAAATACTTTTTCAGCCCTACTCTCTTTCTCTTCTTCTTCAAGGACTCCAATGACATGATATTAAGTTTTTTGGCTATAGCCCCACATGTCTCTGAGGCTTTGTTCATTTTTTTCCCCAGTCTTTTCTCTCTGTTGTTCACATTGGGTAATGATTCTTTCCTTTGTCTTCTCCATTCTTGTGCTGAGCCCATTCATTGATATTTTACATTTTGGTTATTGTAATTTTTCAGTTCTAAAATTGTCACCTGGTTCTTTTTTAAAATTTTCTTTTCTTTTTTAAATTTGTTTCAAATGTGTTCCCAATTGCTTGTTGAAGCTTCTTTTTTTTTTAACCATGCCACGCAGCTTGTGGGATCTTAGTTCCCCCAACCAGGGATTGAACTTGGGCCCTCAGCAGTGAAACTGCTGAGTCCTAGCCACTGGACCATCAGGGAATTCTGTGAGGCATCTTTATGATGGCTGCTTTAACGTCCTTGCCAGATAACTCTAACATCTATATCACCTAGATGCTAGCATCGGTTGCCTTTTCTTATTCAAGTTGAGATCTTCCTGGTTCTTAGAATGACAAGTGATTTTTTTAAAAATTGAAACCTAGACATTGGCTATGATGTTATCAGACTTTGGATATAATTGAAAGCTGGTGTTTACTCAGGGTTCCTCTAACACCACTCTGGCAGAGGAAGGAGGATGCTGCCAGGTGGAGGTGGAAGTCCAGGTTCTATACTAGACCTCCTGGGGGTGGTAGATCCTTGTTATTGCTCCCCACTAAGCCCCCACTGATACTACCCTGTCTGGGATGAGGAAAGATACTTTGTTCCTGCTCCCCACATGGTTTCCACTGACACTGAATGGGTGGGGGGTGGGGTGGCCTTGTTACTGTTGAGTGGTGGTGAAGTCCTAGCTCTCCACTCGGACTCCTCTGATGCTGCCCCAATGAGGATGGGGCAGTGAGCCTTGATAGAGCTTGGCAAGGGTGTAAGTCTATGCTCTCTACTGTGTCTTTAGTGGTGTGCTTGGGTGTGGGTCCATGGTTTATTTTGCTAGAGTAGAGCTGTGATTATCTAAAAGCTTTTAGTCTTGTTACTCTGCTCTTTTCCTGGTTTCATGGCTAGAGAGATCAGACTTTTCTTGGGGCATTTTTTTTTTATTAGCCTACTTCTCCAGTTCCCAGTCTGGGACATGTGAAACAGAGAGAATACTCAGGGAACTCAAGGCCATATTTCTCCTTGGGTTCCAAGCTCCTTAACTGGTCTGCTTTCTTGCCACCTTTCAGATTCCTCTTATGTTTGTTATACATAAAACGTCCAGCCTTTTCAGCAATACTTGGCAGGAAGAATAGGGAAAAGTATGACTACTGTATCTTTCCAGAAGCAGATTTCCATTTAAAAATTCATCTTTGATGCTATTTCAAAGGAAAAGAACGTCTCATTGGTATTCCTGGATGTCTTGCCAGGTTTTCATAAGTTCTTGGAGATAGTGTGCTTGTTGGGTTTTGGTTATTTTTTATTTTTTATAGTAACAAGCAAGTAAAATTGGGGTAGGACCTTTTGCTTTGACAGGCTATAAAAATAATTTATATTTACTGGTGGGCTTGGGTGTGGGGATATAGTTATATATGTGTGAATGTGTATATATATATGTATATATATATATATATATAATTTAATATATATTTTAGGATTGAAAGTTGCTCGGCAATAACACAAATACTATACACTACCACGTAAATGAAAATCTGGAAGCTAGTGCACAAATCAGTTCTTTACTTACTAATTGATGGAAGCAGTGGGAGTAACTTTAAAATCTCGATGCCATAAGCATTTCATTCAAAAGAAGCCATCTAATGTGTAATCTAAGTAACCCTCAAGACTAAAACATGTGCTGCTGAACTGAAACTACAGTTACGTTTGGCACATGACTAACTTTATGCTATAATGATTCATGCTCAAGACTGTTTTTAGCCTTTGTAGACAATAAAGAAACTAGTATTTTTCAGGACCAATAAAAAAGTATTTGGTAAAACGAAAAAAAATCTTAAATAATCCTGAAGAAACGTTTATACTTGCTATTACCTCACTTGCTGGTGAGTTGGTTCAAACTAAAGTTGAAAATGTTTGCTGCTGAGAGATGTTCTGCAAATGGGATTTATGGAAAATGAATGTTAAATGATTCAAACAGACAACAAAAGATAACTCTCTCTTAAATTACTTTTTAGCATTTATGAGACCAGTACAAACAGCCCAAGAGGAAGATGCCTGCAGTTGCCGGTTTCCAGAAGAAGAGGAAGGAGTGTGTGAACTGTGAAGAGGAAATCCACAGATGTGTTGGAACTCTCTTGAGAAGAATCACAGGAGAAATATGAGGGATCCCACTACCGTACCTTTCAAATTTAAAAACTCCATACTGGATAATACCAACGGTTACCCTAACAAGTTTTTTTTTCTAAATGCTAATGACTTGGCCTTTCAAGATGTACCACTTTTAACAGAACAGAAAAATGGGACAGAAATGGTGGTAAAAGTGATATTTTCTAGATACTGCTTGAGAGGTTTGGGCTAGTTTTCTTGAAATCCAAAGAGAATTATATTTTAAATTTAATCATGTAGGCCAATCGTGCAGGTAAAATTATAATCAAAATCAATTATATATATATTTTTGGTGCTAATATGACATATGGCAATAGCCATAAGATGCAGGCACTATCCCCCATCAAATTTTCCATGGGTTCAATCATTCAACACAAGACATCCTCCATTGTCAGGGGAGAATGAGGACAGTCATCGTCATTGCCCAAGTTTGGGGTCAAGAGCAAAAAACTAAAAAATAACAGACCTTGGGACTTCCCTGGTGGTCCAGTGGTTAAGACACCTCACTCCCAATGCAGGGGGCACAGGTTTGATCCCAGGTCAGGGAACTAAGAGCCTACATGCTGCACAATGTGGCCAAAACCAAACAAACAAACAAATGAACAAAAGAAGAAAAAGCAGACCTTGAGGAACAGTTTTGGAAAGAGTCAAATGTCCCTGCATATCCTTGGTCCTCTCCATCTTCCCATCTTCTGCCTTTGTCCTACTCCCCTCTGAGCCACAGCTTACTTTTTATTTTATTCTTAAAAACTTTAGCAGTAATATTTTATATACATAAACTAGTAAATGAAACAGGAGTGAAGACCCATGAACACATAGCCCAACCCGAGCGCTAGAGCAGGAGTTGCCAAACTCCCATGGGCCAAATCTGAGATGCCATGTGCCTTCATATAGTTTATGAGCTAAGGGTGGTTTTACATGTTTAAATAATCAAAAACAAATCAGAATAAGAATAATACCTCATGATGCAAAATTATCTGAAATTCAAATTTCAGAGTCCATAAGTAGTTTTCCTGGAGCACACAAGGCACCCTCAGGTGGCCTTTGCATTGCAACAGCAGAGTTGAGTAGCTGTGACAGAGATTGTATGGCCCACAAAACCTAGAATATTTAATAAGTGACCCTTTATAGGGTCAAAGTCAGGATCAGAGCATCCATCTGTGTGCTGCTTCCCTCCCTCATCTCCTGTCTACCTCCCCACCCCAACTCCAGGCAACTTCTCACAGGAATGTTGTCTCTCATTTCCTTGCTTAAAAGAAAACCATGTATCATATAATTATGTACCCCACAACTATTTTACTTAGTTTTGTTTGTTTTTGAGCTTTATGAACATGGTATTGTGCTGTATGGAGACTTGTGCTTTAATCACTCAGAAGTATATTTGTAAGACATTCATGTTATAGTGTGTAGCTAGAATGCACTCATTTTGACTGCGGTACAGCTTTGCAAATATACCATTATTTATCAACCCACTCTGAATCAAAGGACACTTGGGTTGTTTCCAGGTTTTTTTTTTTTCAATTATGGAAAATATTGCTATGAATGTTCTTTTATATGTTTTCTATTTGAGAGTGTCTCTAGGGAAACTTCCTTAAAGTAGAATTTCTGGATCTTAGGGCATATGAATGTTCAACTTTATGAGCTAGTCCCATGTCAGTAAGGATATGCTAAATTATGCAGAAATGACAAATGAGCCCCCTCCCCCAATCTTAACAGATTACAATCACACAGCAGAGGTGCATTTCTGGATGTCATTACATGCCTGTTGAAGGCTGACTGTGACTCTGTCCCATGTTATTTCACTCCGGGATTTAGGTGGAGAGAGCAGCTTCTACTTGGGACATTGACCATCTTGTGGCAAAGGAACACACCCATATGTAGTTGGCTAGATTCTAACTTTAAGAAAAATTCCTGCAGCCAAGCTTGGCAATAATAGGGCAGAAAGTATAATCTTCACACAAGGAGGGGCAGCAAATATTTCTGAACAATAAAAAGTCTACTGCAGGGCTGAACTGCTTTTCAGCGTGGTTGTTCTAACTGGTGCTCCTGTCAGCAGTGTACAAGCATCCCACTGAGTCCCATCCTTGCCACCCTCAGGCATTTTCAGACTCAATTTTGCCAACCTAGTGGGTTTAGGATGGCATCTCACCATAGTCTTATTTTGCATTTCTGTCACGTTTTTATATATTTTGTGTTTCTTTTTTGAGAAATGCTTGCTCGTGTTTTTTAAACCAATTTAAAAATTTGGTTATTTCTCTTTTTCTTATTGATTCATAAAAGTTCTTTATGTAGTCTAGATAATAATCTTTGGTTACTTACATGTGTTATAAATATTTGTTTGCAATTTGTTTTTTCTCTTTTTAACTGTGTCTCTCTTTTTCTTTGTGGTAATAAGAGGAAACGTTCTTAATTTAATATGGTTCAGTTTACAACTCTTTTCTTACATGGTTAACATTGTTTTTGGTGTCCTGATTAAAGAAATGCTTCTCTGCCCCAATATCATAAAGATATTTCCTCACATTTTATTCTAAAAGTTTTGAGTTTTGTCTTTTGTATTTAATTCTAACCTATCAGGAATCATTTTTGTGTATGTCATGATCCAATGTTGACTTTTGTTTGTGGATAACCACTAGTCCCAGTACCATTTATTCAATGCTCCCTTTTTTCCCTATGGATCTGCAATACACCTCTGTCATTTACCAAATTTCCATCTATCCACAGGCGGTTTCTAGGCTCTCTACTCTGTTCCATTTGTCAGTTTGTCTGTCCGTGTGCCAATACGCACTGTCTTTGTTACAGTAGCTTAATAATAGCTCTTGATACCTGGCAGGACAAATCTTTAATGTCCTTCAATAAAGTTTCATATAGTTTCTCCAGAAGTTGTACATCTTTAGTTAGATTTATCTCTAGGTTCATTGTTGTTGCTTCTTCAGCAGTTTTTTTTTGTTGTCGGAGTAGAGAGATGTCGTTGATTTGCGTATATTGCTTTATAGCCTGCCTCTTTCCTAAGCTTCCTTTTATTTTCTAAGAGTACGTATGTGGATTCTTTGGGGTTTTCTATATACACAATCATGGTATTTGTCCTAATAATAGTTTCTTGCATTTCTAGTCTTTTGTCATTTATTTCTTTGGCTTGGGGTACTGCTTGACTTATTGTCAGGACCTCCAGTACAATGTGATAGTCTGTTTTTTATCCTATTTATAGAGGATACTTTCAGGGTATTTTTTTGGTAAATATACTTGATCAGCTTAAGGAAGTTCCCTTCTATTCCTGGTTAGTGCAGAGGGCTAGTTTTTCATTTTGTAATCATGAAAGGGTGTTGAGTTATATCAAACGATTTTTCTGGAAGAAGACAAAAGCACTTGACAGATGACTCAGTTAATTGTTCTATCACATTGACTTGGATCTACACTTCAGTCAGATTCCAAGAAAATTACTGCCGGAAAGAGATTTAATGCAGTAATGAGTGTAATAATAGGTATTCCTCCCTCCCCCTTAAAGGAAGCTTTGGTGTATGATATAATAATGTGTTCAGAAACATTTTTTGTTTTAATTTAAATAGATGAAGTACCTCCATTTGGCTCTTTCTTTACTGTTTTGATAAGAGTTTTATTTATGGTAAAAGATGAAGGTAATATTTATGGAGGATTTTTTGAAACTTTCTAGCCAATCTCACCAAACACATGAAAAAGTACGAATGGGCATGATTACTTTTCCAGAACAAGAACATTTGAGATTTGACTTAAGCACTTTGACCTTCTCTGAATGGCTCATATGCGGTCTCTGGGTGGAGCCGGTTGATATTTTGGGAGCCTGACCAGGAGGTTTCAGGCAAAAATTCTGTTAACTTGGTATTCTGGTAAGAATAAGAGAACAGTCATTGGTGCTACGATCCTTTTAAAATAAGAGGCAAAGCAAAGCTGAGGGCGTTCACCAGTGCTGCTTCAGAACAGAGCTAGGTATAACTTTTTTCTCCCTTTTCCAAACTACAGCACTAAATTCCAACGTGGCTTTCACTCTCAGCTTTGGACTTTTGATGTTTAATTCTCTGTTGTCCATTATCCACAAACACAAAGGGACCGGTCATGCCCCACAGGCTTGGGTCACCCAGGCTAATTCATTTGTCCCAGATTATAAACACAGAAAATCCACCATTTATTCTGCTTATCTGACAGAGGCTATGTTTATTACACAGACTGTACCATACTCTTATCATAGTATATTTTGGTATAATGTCTAAATGTTATAAATGAAAAACACAGGAACTTGGGGGTATGAGTCACCTTTCCCCCTAAATGACAGTTAACAAAGAATGAAAATCAAGACAGAATTAAATGGTCCCCTTTGAGGATTAATTTAGGAAATCCAATAATTAAGTTTAATAGAAATGCATGGAAATTTCTCTGATCCAAATAAATGAACATATTTAGGGATGTACAAGTTGCAAACAGTTTTCTAAATGCTGCAAAACAAGCTTCGGTTACTTCTGAAGCAAATTTGGATTTTCGTCTTTGGTGGAAGGTGTCACTCTGGTGGAAACTTTTGATACGAGGGGCCTATGGTGGCTGAAGTGGGTGTCTCCCTCCTCTGCAGAGCCGATCTTTCCACTGTGGGTGAGGTGTGCTCACGGACCACAGAGAGTGTGAGTTATGTGTGGTCTGTGTGTGGCAAGGCCAGAAGAGCAGTCATTACCTCTTTTTTTTTTTTTTTTTTTTTTTTTTTGCGGTACGAGGGCCTCTCACTGCTGCGGCCTCTCCCGTTGCGGAGCACAGGCTCCGGACGCGCAGGCTCAGCGGCCATGGCTCACGGGCCCAGCCGCTCCGCGGCATGTGGGATCTTCCCGGACCGGGGCACGAACCCACGTCCCCTGCATCGGCAGGCGGACTCTCAACCACTGCGCCACCAGGGAAGCCTTACCTCTCTTTTTAAAAAAACCTCTATAATAAAACACACATTGATCATTTCACAGAAAAAAAGAATATCTAAGAAAAACGCTTATTTTTTTTAAAAGTTCTATTCCTGTTGCAATGTCAAATCATAAAGGCTAATTAATAGTGAAATAACGTGCTATTCTTTGTAAACGATGGAAACAGACTTTAGTGCCTAGGTACGAGAAAGATTTCAAGTTTGGGATTTCTTTGTCTCCCAACACCTGACTTTTTAGTCACATACAAACATGAATGCTGTTTATTATATCAATATTGATTCAGATAGCTGTATTTCAAATTGTCACTGAAGACTTTCAGTTAACACGTCTTTCACAAATTCATGGAGGAGGCTGATTCTGACAAACCCACTGAAGGGATGACTCTGAAATAGACCTCTTCATTGGACCGGCATCCTCTGGATGCTCTGATCAGCCCCATGCTAGGACACGAAGACAACGGACCCACCTCCCCCTTGAGGGCTTTGAGGCCAGGGGACTGATAAGAGACACAATGTTACCAGGACCTACTATGTGCCAGGAGTAGACTCGTGAAGTAGGAGGCAAGAGCGCTGATCTCCTGGAACTTCCAGCCTGG